TATATATATATATTTAGAGTGTGTACTCTTTCCAGAGAGACAGAGAGAGACAAAAAGTGAGAAATCAAATCCTCCCCAGGGGAGGAAATGGCCACATTGCGATCCCTTCTCCTTCGTTCCCTTCCTCAGGATTTTGGGCACGAACATGCATGCACCCAGCGTTAGTTTCAAGTTGCTGGGTTTGGGAATCGAACTGTGGTCGGCCATGTGGGAATACAGTGACGTAACCATTATCTGGTGTCTTTATCTTTGCCAATATTTGATAGTATTAGTCTTTTTAATTATAGTCATTTTTGTGGGCATGAAATGGTGTTACATAGTGGTTTTAGTTTATTTTTCTGATGACTAAGAATGTTGAATATGTTTTCATTGACCATTTATAAGTCTTCCTTTGTCAGGTCCCTGTTGAAGTCTTTTGTGTATTAAACAAAATTGTTTGTTGGTATTTATTATTGAGTTGTGGAAGATTTTTATGTAATCTAGAATTTATGTATACCAAAATATTTTTAGATACATAAATCAAGAATATATATATGTATGAATATATAAAACTTCCAGTCTGTGACTTGTCTATTTTCTCAATGATGACTTTAGATAAGTGGATGCTTTTAATTTTGATAAAGTCTACTTAAACTTTTTTTTTTTCTTTTTGTTATGCATTCTTGTGTCTTAAGAAATCCTTGCCTACTACAAGGTCAGAAAGCGTTTTTTTTTTTTCTTTTTTTCTTTTTTTGGAGAGGTTTTTGCTATAGGGCACATGCACTCACCAGACAGAGAGAGACAGAGAAACAGAAAGCGAGAAATCACCCCCCCCAGAGGGGATGGCCATGCCGTAATCCCTTCTCCTTCATTCTCCTGTCGGGATCTTGGGCATGCACGCACACATGCCCAGTGTGAGTTTAAGCCACCGGGGCTGGGACTCGAACCGCGGTCGACTACATGGAAATCCAGCGACACAGCCATTATGCCAACTGCTGGTCCCAGAAAGCATTTTTTTTCTGTTAAAAGATTTATTTTATTTTAATAGCCTTATATGCTTTAGCTTCTATGTACAATGAAGTACAATAAAATAATTTCAAGATGAACAATTTATTTTGAATAAATATTTGTGCTTACAGTGTAAAGTAAGGAGTAAAGATCATTTTTATCTCATTGATAGTCATTAGGAGTTGACTTTTTAAAAATAGTTTTATTTCAGTTGACAATAAATGTATGTATTTGTGGGGTACAGTACGATTTTTTTTTTCATTATTGCCAGAGGGTGCATGCTGTCTCTAGAGAGGACGAGAGCAGTAGTCTCCCCTGTGGGGTTTAGCAAGGTTGCCACAATTCCTTTCCTCTGTGTCTCCTTCCCATCAGGATTTTGGGGCGTGCTTATGCACATACTCAGCATAGTTTTCAAGCTGCCACAGCTGAGACTTGAACTGCAGTTGACCATGTAGGTTCTTGCTTCTAATATACAACGTTTTTTTTTAGAGAGAGTTTTTTGCTATAGGCCTTATGAGCTCGCCAGAGAGACAAAGAGACAGAAGGTGAGAAATCACCCCTCGGGGGGATGACCACACTGCAGTCCTTTTTCCTCCATTCTCCTCTTGGGATCTTGGGCATGCACGCACACATGCCCAGCATGAGTTTTAAGCCTGCTGGGTCTGGGACTCGACCAAGGTCGACCACATGGGAGTCCAGAGATATAACTATTGTGCCATCTGCTGATTCCCAGTGCACAACTCTAAACTACTGGGCAACGAATTGGCCCAATGTCACGTTTTGATACTTGTATGCAATATAGAATAACCAAATCTGGCTAATTAACATATCTATTTGGCATTTCTCTGTGGTGAAAACATTTAAAGTTCTCTTTTACTTATTTTGAAATATACGTTATTAAATATAACCACCATGATGTGTGATAGAGTACCAGAGCTTATTTCTCCTATTTAACTGAAACTTTGTCTCAAAAAACAGAACTTGCATTTTTCTTTTTTTTTTTTTTTTTTTTTTTTTTGAGAGGTTTTTGCTATAGGGCACATGTGCTTGCCAAAAAGACAGAGAGACACAGAGAGACAGGAAGCGAGAAATCATTCCCTCAGGGGGGATGGACATGCCACAATCCCTTCCCCTCCATTCTCCTCTCCGGATCTTGGGCACACACGCACACATGCCCAGCTGAGTTTAAGCCACCAGGTCTAGGACAAAACCACAATCGACTATGTGGGAGTCCAGCGACTGTTAGCCATTATGCCAGCTACTCTTCCCAGAACTTGCATTTAAAAAATTTATTTTGTAAAGCTAAATAGCATTTCATTGTGTATAGATATATACATTAAAATCCATTTATCTGTTGATCAATACTTAGGTTGTTCAAATCTTAGTTACTGTGAATAATGCTGCAATGAAAATGTGATACACTGATTTCACTTTCTTTGGGTATATACCCAGAAATGGGATTAGGAAACTGACTTTTGTTATCCAAAGTTAGGTACAATAACTTAAAAGTCAGTATTTCAGTTACTTTGTGTTACAAAATTGTTTGGCTATTAATCCTTATTCTTTCATAGGGCAGTTATCTTGTTGGTAGGCCCATTTCAGACATAAAAGGTGGATAATCAACTAATTCTTGTTGAGCCTTGGTATTAGAGCAAAACCACATAAAAAATCTTGTCCAATGGAATGGGAAGGACAGAAAATGACCCAAGATTTTCTTTCTCTAATTTCCTTTCTGAATAAAACAATCACATCAGCAACAAAAACAACAAAACCTTATATGGTTCCATTTAGTTTTATGATGCGTTGCAGTGTCTGTGAACACTGCTGAGTTTGCATCCATTGCCTGTTATACCCTTTCTGTTAACAGGAGAAAAGAAGCTCCTTGTTCACATAAAGTATGCTGATTCCAAAACGTAATGGAGAATTGTATTAAACTCAGCATTACTGGGTTGCAATAGAAAAGAATCCATGTCAAAAGTGTTTCAGAGAAAAATAAATTAGATTAGCTCATATAACTTAAGTTCAAAGGCTGGAGATGGTTTAGGTAAAATTTATATTGAAAATGTTCCTTATGTTAAAACATTTCAGTAAACTTATTATTAATAATACTTTTTTCCAAGAAACTATTATTGCAGATATCAAAAGATGTACTTTAAAATACCTTTATAACAGTTAAAGGCAGAGCAAATTATTTAAATAAATTTGAAACATTTACCCCCCCCCAACAATAATTACACAATTTGCATCCTTTATTCCAGAGAATTATCTAAAAAAAAAAAAACCCTCATATTTCCAGTAGTTTCTTTCTACATTCAAATTACAAACTAAGCACCAGTCTATTAAGTTTGTCTTAGTGAATATTTACTTTAGATTTTTATGAAAACAAGAAAACAGAAAAGAGTCAAAGTGCTGTGCAAATGACCCCTGGGGTTCAGGCGAGACTCAAATGCTCTCTTCTCCTCTGAGGTTATTACCATCTCTTGCTTTTAACATTTAGAGATACTGCAGGAGAGAGTTGAAAGCAGAGGTTGACTGCATCTCCAGTGGTGTTTTGGTTTGCCGGTATTCGTTCCTTGGTGCTGTTGTGCAAAGGACCAGAGCTGCACCGAGTGGCTTGTTTCTCCAGGCTGTGCAGACTGGCTGCCTGATGCTGTAGATGCTGATACTGGCTGCTGACAAACCTTGTTTCGTTACATGGTGCCTGGTCCTCATTTCACCAGAAAACACGGTAGCTGTAGCCGCACATAGACTTTTTCCTCTTTCTCTTTCCCCTTCCTACCCCTCCCTAGACCTCTCTGGGCTTTGACGTCATGTGTGCTCCTTTCAGTTGCCATAGCAACCCCATTCCCCAAGCCCTCTGTCCGTCTCCTCTGGTAGGTTCCACAATGGTACAGGCAGCATCACGCTGCACAATGGTTTCCAGACAGTGAAAGAGGGAGAATCAGCAAGCCACTCTTCCTTTTTTTTTTTTTTTTTTTTTTTAAAAACCTCCCCTTTTCTCTTTATTTTTATGGGGGTGGGTGGTGCTTGTTATATGCTTACCTTTTTGTTTTATTTTTTCATTTTTACCTATTTCTTTTTTGCTCCTCACCCCTCCTTTCCTAGGGGCTTGAGTGAGTTTAAGATTGGGTTTTCTTGGAAATTACCTGTCCATTATTAATTTTAAGCAATCTCCCCACCCCCAAAGAATCTCTTCCTTATTACAGTGTGGAATGTGGTTAATGAGAAACAAGTAGGGAGGATTTCTGGGGCAAACACTGGCGGATCAGGATCGTAGTTCTCAGGCACGGAATGGTAGGTGGCTCTTTGCTCATTCTGGGTTCTAACCTGTTTTGGGAGGTGGGGTGATTATTGATTGCTCCTGGTGGGGCGGAGAGGGAATATGGGAGAGTGGGGAGAGATGGGGAGGAAAGCAGGTTAATCAAGTGAACTATCTTGAAGGCAAGAAGCCACCAGCCTTTCCTCCTGTGTAGAGCATCTCTTTGCAGACTTGGGCGTGTGGAAACATTTCTGTTCAGAGTGAGGGGCTGCAGATGATGGGAGGGAGCATTCTTTTGTGACCAAGGGGTTTTTAAAGCAATGCAGAGCTATAGAATGGAAGAGAGAAAAACACATAGAGAGGGCGAGAGGGAGAGAGGGAGGGAGGGAGGGAGGGAGAGAGAGAGAGAGAGAGAGAGAGAGAGAGAGAAAGAGAGAAACATCTGTGCTTGTTAGAACTGCTGACTTCAGTTCCAGATCTGAGAAAAGCTATGGGTTCCATAAGACATTTAAAATAATGTCTTTTATTTACTGAATGGTGTACCTTAAAATAATTTTTGGAATGTACTTATGCATCTTAGTAAAGAACGGTATTTATATATATATTTTAGGTGCAAAACTAATGGCATTAGTCTTATAGAGCAACTTCCAGGCTAAATTGGGGCTGTGGAGAGGAACACAGTTTTAATAGGGGGCAGGTTAGAAATAAGAGGAGACATTGGTACTGCAGTCACATAGGTAAGGGGTCCCTTTAAGAAAGTGATCTCCTAGTCACAGCAGGCAGCTTTTTCTTTTTTCTTTTTTTTTTTTTTTTAGTGGCAATGTTCCCAGGTATTCTGTGCTGGGATACTGTGTCCCCTAGAAATGTCAGAGCTCTTCCAGAAAAAAAGAAAAAGAAAAGAAGAAATATCTCATAAGAAATGAGCATGTCTATGTTTTTGTCAGAATCTATGCATTCGAGAATACAGCAAAATAAATGTGATACATTGGAAAATCTTCAAGTAAATTAGATTATATAATAGATATTTTAAGAAAATTACGTACATATATACATTTTTTTCACCTTCTCTTCCGTTTAAATCTAGAGACCGAGTCTCTGCTTTTATCCCCCTTAAACAGATAAGTTCCCAGGATACTGCAGTTCAGCCAGAGAAAAAGAATGGCTTATCCCATGGCAGGAGGCTCTGAAGCAATCCCAAGGTTGTTTACACGGACTGCCTTTGCTGCAGAACCTGACAGTGCCTGTACAGCAGTCCTGCCTGCTTGTGGTGTGTGGAGGGTAACTTTTATGAACAAACTGATAAGAAGCAGGCTAAGTCATGTGGGACAGGCCACAGTTCAGAGGGAAAGAAAATGGGTGTAAGTGCAGCAGGCATTGGCAGCCCAAGGTCCAATTTCTTCCCTCTCCCTAATGCTCATTGTTGGACCCTGTAAGATCTCACAGAATGCTGACCAACATATTTAAGATGGTTGCAAAAGTAACAATTTCTCTCAGAGAGGCTTTTGCAAAATTTCTACCTTAGATGAGCATATATATTGTAAATATAAATAGAGATGTCATGACTGAGCTCATGAGCTTCCGACTACTTTGGAACCATTGGATTTTAGAGGCTGGAGAGTTCGGATGTAACCGTTTTCCTGCCTCTGGTATGTATTCCCTTCTGTATCTTGGTCTCCTCTTCAAATTGACATAACATATTGAGTTAGGTTATTATATCATGTGGAAAACTAGGTTTTCTTTCTCCTCAATGGGACTAGAAAATCAGATTACAGAGGTTGTCTGACCTTAAATATTAAAGAGTTGTCAAGCTTCCTCATTTGCATATGACATCTCTCCCCCACCCTTGCAAAGTGCCTTTAATTTGAGAGGCTTAGGTTCTTTCAAAATCTTTACAGTTTCTGTAAAAAGATTCTTGATGTTGGAGACAGTAAGAAATTATGCCTAGAGTGGAAAAATCAACTGGCTCCAGCCCCCTGCTTGTTATCCCCAGAACAGCGTCTGCTATGGGAGGAGTATGTTTGCCATGCTGGAAGGGGATGTTTATGAACAGATCCCGGGGGGACCAAGTGTGTTTTGCTGTCATTGTCTGGTACGTCTGCAGCTATTAGTTCTTAATGGCCTCATAGTATGCGGTCAGTGTTTTTCAAGGTTAGAATGAACTGAGCATTTATATAGCATCATGCTATAAAATGTAAGTATTTTAAATTTACAGGGAAATGCATAGGATTTCCCTTGTTAGGATAGCCTATAACAATATCATAAGCTAGAAGACTGTCAAAGCTAAGTAATCTGAAAAAGCCTCTCGTATTTAAAAATTATATTTTATATATACATATTTAGGTAAAATGAATATTTAAAGTTCTAATATGACTTGATGTAAATGAATGTTTCTTTGGATGCAAGGTTGGTTACAAAGTCTTTTTTATACTGATTATAAAGGATAAAGATATATTGGAGATTTTCTTGTTTGTTTAATGTGGGGACAAATGTTCTCCTTTCCTGCTCTAGTTCTGGCCTCAGGTCACATTTGCAGCTAAAGGACTTTGAGTGGAACTGGTGTGTTCAAATCTAATGATTGCTTGGTTGCTTATCAGAATAATGGACTCAAAGCAAGAGAGTGTTCCTTCAATTAGAATAAGAAACAAACTAATTGACATTTTAAATGACTTCTTCATTGCCTTTTCTATTCCCTCTTGCAGTTTCTTTTAAACTTTTGGGTGGACATTGCAACACTCACCAAAAAGAGTCACAAAAGTAGTCATGATAAGAACAGAGCCCAGTGTTTTATTTGCTGCAGGCTTGCCGAGTGCCTCATTCCTACCACACATGCATCTATTGTGGTACCTTCTGAGGACCAAGGACTTGTGGAAAAAGTTGGGTTTATATACTATTAAGAGAGATGTGTATTGGTAAAGAAGAACGAATGCATTTGTTTCTTTTCATATTGGATTCATTTATTGCATTGCCTGTCTGAGGTGAAAGACTGTGCTGCTGATTCAGATAAAAGAGCATGCTGCATGTTGATTATTTGAAAGAGAATATGTAGTTTAGAATAGGAGCCCGTATTTTCAGAAATTCATCCAACTGTACATGTTTTCATAAAGCTATTAAGTTATTTTTTTGTAGAGGTTTTTGCTATAGGGCACGTGTGCTCACCAGAAAGAGAGAGACAGAGAGACAGAAAGTGAAAAATCACCCCCCCCCAGGGGGGATGGCCATGACGCAATCCCGTCTCCTCCTTTCTCCTCTCGGGATCTTGGGCACACACGCACATGCGCCCGGCATGAGTTTTAAGCCACTGGGTCCGGGACTCGAACCGCGGTTGACTACGTGGGAGTCCAGTGACATAGCCATTACGCTAACTGCTGGTCCCAAAGCTATAAGTTTTTAATGAAAGATTTTTCAGTTTCGGTACATTTTATCCTTACAAGCAAATCAAGCCAAAGGGAAGAATATGTTTTGGGTACCTCCCCACCCCCTACCCCCATGTTTAATGAGAAAAGCTTCATATTGTGCTGTTAATCTTGGTTAAAAACTGTAAGTGGAGACATCAGGTGATATTGAAAATTCCTGAATAGAAACAAGCATTTTAGGTTTGAAAAGTAGACCTCAAACTCATACTTATTTTTGGTACGGGATTTTCTAGTTTAATTGGCGTTTTGGATCCATAACAAGCCACTATGGCCTTTCTTACTGTTCTCATCCCTGGTGACTTGAGATGTAAAACCCATAGGCTTATGGAAATAATGCTCCTAGGAAATGAAATTAAAGTTTTGAATGGAAAAAGAAATGACTGAAGTCTCTGTAGAAGCATTTGTAACCACAGCTACTCTGAAACCCTGTGCGGTGTGTGTTGGCTTATCGGGAAGCTCCTCTGCAGGGCAATCAGGCATTTGCAGTGGCTTGTATGGGAATAAACAGGATTATGGCTATTTTTCCCCCCTGTGGTTAGAGGAAGGAAAACACAAATAAATGCAGCAGTGACTTAAAAGTATGAGAAATGAGGGCCAGCAGGTGGTGTGGAGGTTAAGGCACTAGAGCCCATGTTGCCAACTCCATGGTTTGAGTCCTGGAACTGGCAGCTTGAAAATCACACCTGGCATGTGTATGTGTATGCCCACCCAAAATTCCAAGAGAGGAATAGAAGAAAAGGGTTTGTGGCTTGGCCATCCTCCCTGGGGGGTAGTTTCTCACTTTCTCTCTCACTTTCTCTCTCTCTTCTTCTGTCTCTCACTCTCTTTGTCTCTCTCTGGTGAGCACATACGCCCTATAGCAAAGCCTAAAAAAATTAGAAATGGGTCTGTGACATGTCTTAATAGAAGTAAAACTGACTCCTGGTTTGTGGATGTTAACCTCTCAGGGTGCTCTATGTGTTACTTGAAAATGGGTTTCTTAAAGGGATTGTTTTCTTGTGCACTAATAATGGAAATAGTATCTGGAAGCATTGGTAATGAAATAAAGCTCTTATGTTTTTATTTGGTGATGATTATTCAGTACCTGTAGGAAGAAGTTCCCTCACAGCCCTTAGCACACAGTACAATAATTGCCTGTTTTGGTATTACCCATATTCTCTACTATATCTCTGCCAGAGACTGCATATAAATGGGACACAATAAAAATTCATTAAAGGAATGTCTCCCATGTACAGAGGTCTCTGCTGCATGCTATGGGTGGAAGGTATTAGGAAACTGTAACATAAAGTTTCTGTCATTTAGAGCTGATAGTCATCTGGGGAGATGAGATTAAGTAACAATAAAGGTGATATATATATGATTAAAGACCTGTATTAGTGGTTTGACAAAATGTGTACTGGGAATTCAGGGGAGAAAGAAATTCACCTCTTTTGAAATGGTGGTAGACAATGGAGGCCACAATTGGGATGCTGGGAAGGGGGTGATGATGGAGCAATATTCTTAGGTGTGATTGTAAGCACGTGACCAGGAAAGAGACTTTTGTTTGGGGGAGAGAAGGGAGGGTATTTAGGACATGGTGACCATACTTTTAAACTAGAAATCAAATGTTATGGTTTGATAATGGAGAAACTGGTCCAACATATTATTGACAAGTAACAGGCAATAAGACTAAAATAGATCAGATTATAAAAGAACATAAACACAGGTCTCTTGCAGCTTCATTCCAACTTTGGTTTAGTTTTACTTTATTTCATGTACTTCAGAGGTTTTAAATTTTTTCTCCCTCCTTTTATTGGTAATGATGTAGCCTGTTGTTCCAGTGAAATCTTACCTGAAAATCAGGATAGGTAGACGTATGGAACAGTAGAACTGTTCTGACTAAGACTGAACGGGCTGTCCTGTATTACAAAGCCAAATCCACGTCACAAAACCGAATATCTTATCAATCCAAATACCAATTACTAGTTAGATTGATGTTGAGAGTTAAAAATATCTAGCTGTCTGGTATTGATGACAGCAACATTTTTGTGCTTACAGTAGATCCTGAACACAGTAAATACCACAAAATGTTTTATTTCCTTCCCCTGCACCCTGCTGCCTGGTAATCAGTTGTCTTTGATGTCCGTCTTTTGGTTTTCTAAGTGCAGGTCAAATTCCCATTCAAATCTTAAAATCCAACTCATCTGACTTTTTGCTTTGATTTTAGGCTAGCGCGAACAACACCAACGTTTGGGCTGTCTCAGACCTTCGTTATGGCAACTCATGCAAGAAGCTGTTGAATTAGACCCATTTCCAGTAGATGAGAAACCACACAAGCAGTGGTGAGTTGCAAATTTTAAAAATGTTCCTTAGCAGGAAACCTATGATCTTCATAACCAATTTAGATACTGCATATGGTTTAGCAGATCCATACTGCATATGGATCTGAAGAAATACTACTCCAAATGCCATCAACTAAAGAAGTAAAAATCAATAAGGTGTTGTATTTATTTGGTGATGCAATACTACTAATAACCAGATATAGTATACATAGTGGTGTGAGGTCTTGAAGTGCAAGGGTACAGTGTATAATACTATGACATTACTGTCATGGATGATATCAATGTATGATGACAGTAATTCACTGTTTCATGTAGCAGAGTAACAATTAGGTACATTATTTTCTAGTGGTTTTTCTTTTTTACAACATAATATATATTTTACTGATTCCTCTTCTTTCACAGAAAAATTGGCTCTAAGGTCAATTATGATATTCAGTTCTTTTCAGAAATGCATATGCCTGTGCATACACACTATTTAAATCTTCAGAAGTAAGGGAAGAAAATTCATATCACAGTTTTATAAACCTCAGTTTATGGACATTTTAGCTTACAGATCCTTTGGGCCAATAAAAACAAAATTAAAAACAGATCCAAGTTCTCTGACTAGTCGAAGTAATTTTAAACACTTAATTATGTTATAAATATATCAGCACTCACAGGCAGAATATAATTTTTAATCAAATACTTGATGCTTCGTAGTCATCAAAGTCAATAATCAATAGACACCAACAGAGATGAACAAGTTATACTCTGTCAAATAACATCTTTGAGAAATAGGGTATGACAGTGGTACTTGTAAGACTCCAAAAGCTGTTTTGAGCTAGTGATCAATATCTCTCTTTCATTTGCCTAGTGGCTTACATAACTAAATACATAGGCTGTCCTGTGAATTAATGCATAACCTGTAACTGTAGAAGACTTATAAAAGCAATCCAATAGTTACTTCACATTGTAATTTTTAAATAATCTGCTTACAATTATATTGAGGAAACATCTAATAGTCATCATTACACTATGTTTAATCAGTGTATTAAATGAGTGTTATAAAGAAGAAATAAAGTATAATTTCGAATAATCATTTTTTTAACCTAAAATAAGGACAGTTTTTGTTGTTGTTTTCTGAGAGAGATTTTTGCTATAGGGCATGTGTACTTGCCATAAAGATAGATCAGAGAGACAGAAAGTGAAAAATCACTCTCCGGGGGAACGGCCATACTGCAGTCCCCTTTCCTCCATTCTCGTTTTGGTATTTTGGGCACTTAAGCAAATGCACCCGGCATGAGTTTTAAGCTGGTGGGTCTGGGACTCAAACAGCGGCCGACTACGTGGGAGTCAGTGACATAACCATTACACCTGTTGGTCCCAAGGACAGTTTTATATAGTTAAACCTAGTATGTTGAGTTACATGTTATGCCCAGTGATGTGGAAAACATGTGTTATGTTGCCCCCATCATGAACACTTATTCATTAAGCAAACGTTTATTGAGAATCCGTGATGTAGATAACATGTTTGGCTTTTGGGATACATGAAAGACAATCCCTGATTAAAAGGGGTTTTGGTCTAAAGAACATGGTATTTATAAAGTGCTATTGCCTGGGTAGATAGAGGGTGCCAAAGGAAGAGCAGCGGAGGAGAATATAACACAGATGTGGTGGATCCCAGAGAAAGGGAGACTTCCCAGAGAAAGTGATATTTTCGGGGACTCTTAAGCACAGTGGGAAGTCAGCCAGAGGAAGGGAGGATTCAATGCACACTGGGACAGTTTTCAAAGGGCCAGAAGCTGGAGAGAGCGGGACTGCCTGGTGGCACAAGGTATCGTTTACTGTGCTGGAGAATGAACGGCAGTGGGAGAAATGAAGCTGCGGAGGACTTCAAGACAGATACCGTGACGGACTCCTTAGACAAAGCTAAGGAGTTTGGATTTTATTCCAAAGTAAAGCTCTTTTAGAAGATTTTAAGTAGGAGAATGAAGTCATCAGTTTATTTTTAAATTGTGAAATATATCATATATATAGAAGAATGTATAAAACAAATAAGATTAAGGAATAATTATAAAGCAAATATTGTGTAATTACTATTCATATTAAAAAAAGTAGACTCCCAGCATGTCGCTATGTGCCCCTTTCAGATCTCATGTTTTTTCCCACTAGAGATAGCCAGCATACAGTCCTACCTTCAGTCATGTCTCGTTTTTTTCTTCACAGATTTTCCACCTCTATGTGCATCTCTACATTATAAATCTTACTTGTACCTATGTTCAACTCCATGTATTTGTAATCATAGTATATACAGTCTTCATTACCTGATTATTTAGCTAAACACTGAGATTTTTCCATGTTCGTGCATATAGGTTTTTTATATAAATAGTTGTATAGTATTCTATTCTATACAAAATTTACTTATCTATTTTATTTTATTTTATTTTTTTATGGAAAGGTTTTCTTTTTCTTTTTTCTTTTTCTTTTTTTTTTGCTTTTGGGCACATGTGCTCACCAGAAAGATAGAGACAGAGAGATAGAAAGTGAGAAATCATCCCCCCAGGGGGGATGGCCACACTGTAATCCCTTCTCCATTCTCCTCTTGGTGTCGTGGGCACGCACACACATGTACCTGGCATGAGCTTAAGCCACTGGGTCCAGGACTTGAACTGCAGTCGGCTACATGGGAATCCAGCGACATAGCCATTACGCTAACTGCTGGTCCCAAAACATATTCCAGGACTCGAACCATGGTCATTTGCCATGTGGGATCCAGTTGCCTTAACCTTCGCGTCACCTGCTGACGCTCCATTCTATTGTTGATGGGCATTTGGATCATTTCTATTTTGCTTAAACTAGTATAAATACACACATAAAAACACTTTTAATGTTTATAAATATACATAATTGCTCACAGAACCTAACACACAGGTGTAAGAGCTTCTCTAGAATAAATATCAAGGGAAGAAATTGTTGCATTTTAGAGTATGTGTGCAATTAATTTTACTCAATGATTCCAAACTCTTCTTCCCGATCATTTATATCAGTGTATACACCCAGTTTTTACCCTATATCCTCACCAGCACTTGAATTATAAGCTCTTAAATATAGCTAATCAGGTGGATACATAATTATGCTCATACAGTTATTTATTTGCATTTTAGTAATTACTAATGAAGACTATTTTTTCATTTCTTATTCACCATTTGATACGTGTTATTTGTGTGTGTGTGTGTGTGTGTGTGTGTGTGTGAAGTTGCCTGTTAAAATATTTTTGAAATTTCTCTTGAAATAGTAACCAACATTTTATTGAGTTCTTGCTGTGTAATAGCCACTAAGCTAAGCACTTTACAAACATTTGATCTTCATATCATTGTATGATTTACAGATAGGGAAATTCAGGTTCAGAGAGGTTAAATCGCTTGCTGACAATCAGAGTTGAGAAACAGTAAGCTTCACATTCAAACTCAGGTCTTCTGTTTCCAGAGTTCTTTAGTTTCTTACAGAGTGTTTGGAAGATTACACTGGATCTAAAGAGAACACTAAAGGTGCTATTGCAGGAATCTAGGTAAGAAAAAATAAGGACAAAGCCATTCCTATAGTGCAGCAGTTAAGCATAGTACATGTGGAGTCAGATGCCGCATAGCCAACTGTGGTTTGGGTCCTGGCCCTGGTACTTTGAAAAACACTCTGGGCATGTCTGTTTGCATGCCCAGAATGTAGGATGGAGAAATGGGGATTGAGGAATAATCACGCCCTTTTGTGGGGTAGGGAGGATGGATTGCTGTGTGTGTGTGTGTGTGTGTGTGTGTGTGTGTGTGTGTGTTTCTCTTTCTGGCAAGTACTCATGCCCTCTCACCAAAATAAATAAATATATAAATAAAATAAATACATAAACCAGAGAAGAATTGCCAATAGAGCTTATGTACCAAACAACTAGAGTTGGTAATGAAGGTGGTGGTGGGTAAAAAGAGAGAGGGTTTAGAAAGTCTCAAGGTTTTTTTTTTTTTTTTTCTTTTTTTTTTAGAGAGATTTTTCCTATAGGGTGTGTGTACAAAAGACAGAGAGATGCAGAGAGACAGAAAGTGAGAAATTACCCTTCAAGGAGGATGGCCATGCCACAATCCCTTCTCCTCCATTCTCCTCTCGGGATTTTGGGCACACACACATCCCCAGTGTAAGTTTTAAGCTGCCGGGTCTGGGACTTGAACTGAGGTTGACCACATGGGAGTAATGTAACCATTACACCATTTGCTGGTCCTGAAAGTCTCAAGTTTTAATGCCTAGTGGTTAGGCAGAGTCAATTAGTCATAAAATGAATATTTATAGCCCAGGTGTTGTGTTAGGTTCTAAGAATACATTTTTTTTTATTCCGTGATTCAGTCAGTAAGAGATGCCTTTAGTTCATACGTTCATAAATTTTAAGATTTAAAAAGTCCACAATGTTTATTTGGGTCAACTCCAGTTTTCTAAGATGTGGTGCCAGTTCTTAAAGAGTATAAGTGGCTTGTTCAAGATCACATGTTACTAAGTGTGAAGTTAAGAATAGACACCAGGCCTGCAAAAAAATGCAAGAAATAACATCCACCTGATTTTTAAATTCATAAGTGAAAATACAGTCAACCTATTTTATACGAGAAACATTTTATAGTTCATCTCCCTTTTATCTAAATCTGTTGTCATAATTCAGGCCCTCATCATCATCTTTAGCAAGTTTGAGTAGCTTTGCATGTTAAATTCTTACCCAGTGAATACACCAGAATTTGTATTTGATTTACAGTTGTTACCACATAACCATCGTTACTCTTTGACATAACCCATGTAATAATTTCTCTTCTCCTTAAAATACACCATACATCTGGGCCAGCTCAGGGTGTGGTGGTTAATGGCCAATTACACGGTTCTAGTCCTGGACTCAGCAGCTTGAAAAACATGCTGGGTACATATGTGTGTGAACCCAAAAATCCTGATGGATAGGAGAAATGGAGGAGAAGGGATTATGGCATGACCATACCCCATGC